GTTTGGGGTTTTATAAGGTTTAGGGTTCAGGGTTTTTATAGGGTTTATGGTTTTATAAGGTTTAGGGTTTAGGGTTTTAAGGGTTTTATAAGGTTTAGGGTTTAGGTTTTTATAAGGTTTCGGGTTCTGTACCTAGAGGGTCATAGCTACCTGGACCCCACACAGCCTACCTTTTTAGGGTACCTTATTCTAGTTTCTTTGCATACGTCCTTAAAAAAGGCAGGTTCTGTGGGGTTAAGGTACCCCATATTAGGTTACCTACTTTTCTGTATGGCCGATCCTAGCCAAAAATATAGTACCTTGCAAAGGGGTTAGGGTATGACCCTCTAGGTAAGTAGTAGGTTTCCTGTTCTTTCAGAGGCTCTTTCCTCCAACAAAAAAAGATCAACAATTGAGGAAGGATCAGTCTTGGATTGGGCTCGTCCGATTGGGAACAGGCTCAATCAGTCTGAGCTCACCGGCGAGTTACAGTTGTCATGACCATGATGGTACACACGCGAGCAGAAATCATCACCACCACCCTCATCATCGTCACCATCCCACGATTGCTGCTTGCTACGGCGACGACGACGACTGCTGCTGCTACCGTTGCTGCCGGCACCACCGGTATCACTCAAGTACTCTGCTTTGAACTTGGTGCAAGAGTTCTGATCTGTGTGACTGCACGAAGCTTCCTTGCCCAGGGCTGTCCCCGGCAGGAGAGAGTTTAGGGTTTAGGGTTTAGGGTTTAGGGTTTAGGGTTTAGGGTAACACCTAAGGCCCCAGCGCCCTGAACCCCGAAATTCAAACCCTAAACCCCTACTAGTACAATACATCCCTAAACCTGTAAATTAAACCCCTAAACTAAACGTCTAAACCCCTAAAACAAAAAGCCTTCAGCCCGAAATTCAAGACCTAAACCTCTGAACCCTTAAAGTAAAGCTCTAAACCCTAAACCCTAAACCCTAAACCCTGCCAGGTGTACAACCTGGCGGTCTGGAGTCGGCTGTTTCTTTACAAGCCGCAGCCTCGGGATGCTTTTGTTTTTTTTTTGGGGCTTCAGGGTTTTAGGGTTTCGGGGTTTTGAGGTTTCGGGGTTTAGGGTTTAGGGTTTAGGGCTTTTGAGGTGGAGGGGCTTTTGGGTTTTTTTTGGCTTCAGGTTTCAGGGTTTCGGGGTTTTGGGGTTTCGGGGTTTCGGGGTTTAGGGTTTAGGGTTTAGGGCTTTTGAGGTGGAGGGGCTTTTGGGTTTTTTTTGGCTTCAGGGTTTCAGGGTTTCGGGGTTTTGGGGTTTCGGGGTTTAGGGTTTAGGGTTTACGGTTTAGGGCTTTTGAGGTGGAGGGGCTTTTGAGGTGGAGGGGCTTTTGGGTTTTTTTTTGGCTTCAGGGTTTTAGGGTTTCGGGGTTTAGGGTTTAAGGTTTAGGGTGCAGGGTTTCAGTGATTAGGGTTTCGGGGTGTAG